CTTGACTCATAGTCCTGATACCGACGCAGCCGGAGGCTGTCTTGCCGCTATCGTCGAGTCGACTTGAGCGCCGAACGAGCTGGGGATCCCAGACACAGGAACAGCTGGCTGAGAACGTGAACCCCCTCTAAAACCTTCGGTCATGGGGCAGTCTTGGCCAGCGGGAATTCACACCACCAATTACCCTTACCTAGTAGGTGAACGACCAGGGCAAGCCAAGCCAGGCTTTTCACCGGGCACCGTAGCGATACATGGTGCGAGCCTGTGCCTGAGCCTGCGCCTGAGCCTGTGCCTGAACTCGCGCTGGCGGGGGGCCCTGGGCACGCCATAGTGAGCCGGCCTCCAGGCTAAAAGAGTTCGGGGTGGGATTCCCTACTGCAACTGGACCTCCGCCTGTAACTGGAATTGGCTGGTTTCTCTCGGCTCGGGTGCCAGCGGCTCCATATCATCCCTCCATCGGATCGTCTTGCTGGCCCTGCCGTGCGTGCTACTGATGCAACCTCTGCCTGGTGTCATGCCTAGCAACTCAGGTACTCTTCCTCCCTCCCGTCATCTGGCCCTTCCCTAGGTAGGCTGTTGGGCCTGGGCGGCGGCGCGCTTGTCAGCTGTTGATGCAGGTGAGAGATTGGGGCATTTGGCCTTGATCCCCCATCCTATCCCTTCCATCGTGCTGCCGTTCACTCAATTCCGAGTTGAGCTATCACCCGCCCAACCCCTGTCCAGTCCAGTCCAGGCCAGGCACGTACGCTGGGGGATATGCAACATACCTTACCTCACCTCACCTTGAATACCTTTTTGCCTCGCTTCCTCCCTAGGCACGCATTGATCCTGATCTGACAGGGCGCCCATCTTGCTTCCAACCTTGCCTCCTTTGCTGTTGCCTCACCACTTCTTTTTTGATCTTGTGTATTACGTTCTTGTGATCTGGTCGCAAGAGCACGGCCCTTCTTCTTTAGACTTGCGACCTGAGCCTCATTCTTGCCTTGCCTTGCTGTCGCCTCCCTCTCTCTCTCTCTCTCTGGCTTGCACTTGATCGAATTGTGCCTTGCTTACCGTTTGCCCCGGCCTGTCTAGCTACGAGACCACTGAGGCCGTTTTCGTTAACTCACTCGCTGGCTTGCCTGCTACAGCCCATTCTCTAGGCACAGACCCCGTCGACCGAAGCTGCTCCATCCCGCCTGGTGGATCACGACCGCCAGAATCTCCTGGCCCCAAATCCTCAGCAAGCTGGGCTGTCTGGAAGCTCGAGGCCATCTTACCGAGAACGACCACGTTGGCTGATCGGCTTGTCTGCGTTATTCTGGTCGCTCGCATCAATCTCACGACGCTTGGCAGCCACTCGTCGTTCGGATCTCGAATCCCTCGTGTCCTCCGATCTTGTTTGTCATCCCATTTCGGTATGCCGCCTGTTTCTCATCCCTCTTCTCCCTTTCTCTGCCCTGCCGACCTTCCGTCCCTCTCCCTCGCCCTCGACCCCTGCTATCAGGCTCGCTTGAGCCAACCTTAATTGCCCGACAAGAACCATTACTTACGAAAGGCCCGTCGCCCGCCGGTCAGTTGCTCCGCCAGGCATACCACATCTCGCACAGGCGGGCGGTCGTTCACAAGCTGCAATAATGATGAATGTCGCATCACGATCTTGAGCATTCCTAACATACAGACCAGTTCGCCTGATCATCCTTCGATTTTTGCCTGTCCCACTCTCGTTTGTGGAAGAGCGATTGGTACGACCTGCACACCACGCAGCTCGATACTCCTTCAACCTCCAATATTGATCTCCTCCCCGCGGCTACTGTCATGGTTGCGTTGAGGTTGTGCACGACGACATCAAAATTGCTATGAGTGGGGATCACCAGGCTTCCAGGCAAGACCCCACCTCCAACTTCCTGCCTGCCTTGCCTTGCCTTCACTGCCCTGGCCTACCCACTCGACGCGAGAAGAAGTCTTCACGTTGACTTCGTCGCTTGTTCTCGGGTCGAACATTTCCGCTAACCTCCTGCTTCCCACAGCTTTGGAGATCCAAACGCTCAGCCGCCGACCCCTCTACAGACACCCACCTCTGCCGTCTTTCCTAGTCCAGTATTTCAGACGCCCAAGGCCCGACAAGACTCTTTCAACGACTCGAACGGCTGGACGCCTCGCTTTGCCGAGGAGTACTCCGTCTTCAACACCACACCGGGCAATCTTCAAGGCCCCTTTGGCGACTTTCACGGCGCCAGCCTCGCCTCCTGCCCCCCTTCGCTCGGACACAAGCGCCAGCTTTCTACTGGCGGTGTGGCTGCCGAGATAGCAACGCATGTCAACCACTTCTCCGCGAACCCCAACCTCCCGTTACCACCCGTCGACCCAGCCAGGAGGCTCCCCTCTTCGCCTGGCCTGATCAAGCCGCAAGAGTACTTGGAACAGCACCAGCCCGCAGCGAGTTCACAAACAAACCAAAAACCGAGATCGACGAAGAAAGCCAAGAAGAAGGCTGGCGTGGAAGAGGTTGAAGGCCAGACCGCCACACCTCCGCCTTCCGCCCACAAGGGAGGGCGGAAGCTCGCTATCAGCCTCAAAAAGGACAACATGCAGAACGATCAGGGCTACGGCCATCCGGACTTCGCCACGACCGGCGCGCCTCAACAGCAGACCATGTCTTTCGCATCAACCTCGGACATGTTCGACTATCCAATGTCCGCACCGGTAGCGCCGAATGCGAGTTTTTGGGATCCTTCGGCGGACATGGCGGGCATGGATTTGGATTTTGCGAGCTTCGGCACCGGTGTGTTCGGAACGCCCATATCCTCGCACAGGCAGCTGGGGTCTTTCGATGCCACACAAATGTTTTTGGACAACCCTTCTATACTGCAGAACCAGCAGCAACACCAACACCACCCCCAGCAACAAAATCGACAAGGCCAGGATCACCGTCAACCAATCCGGAGGGACAGGCCGCTGGCTCCCAAGCAGGCCATGCCGAGAGGTGGAACGCTGACCTCCAGTGCTAGCATGCCACTACACTCGTACTCAGGGAGCCTTGACGACCCGTTTGGCATCATCAGCCCTAGTGGTGTTGGTGTTGACCCAGGTCTACTCTTCAGCCGACCTCAGTCCTCAGACATGGACACAAGGTTTGGCGTGAACCAGGCCGAATCTCTCTCGCATTTCTCCATGGCCGATGTCGCCCAGACTCTTTCCACGGCACCCATGCGGCAAGATATGCGTCGATCGGCCAGTACGAGGGAAATATTGCCCAATCAAGGACCCGACCGTGCTTCAGCGAGTTCGCCCAACAAGATCGCAGGCCGCCCTGGAGGTCTGCAAAGGAGCTTCAGCGAGAATCGAGGACGGCGACAATTGCCGGTTTTGGCGCCAGCCATACGCCCGACGCCCGCCCAACCCGCGGCCACCGGCTCGAACAGACCACCAAGCGTTCGATCCTCGGGGAGGATATCACCATTAAAAAGCCATACTCGTCTATCCAGTCTCACCTCGATCCCCGAAACAGCACCGCCACGAACCAGGACGTCCGTCAAGTTCACCATCGACTCCAAGGGTCGAGCACGTGCAGAAACAACCATGATAGTAGAGGAGCCTGGCACGGCAGGTCCGGCGCGGAGGAGACCGTCGCACGAGATGCCACGCCGAGAACGAAGTTTTGAATCCGAAGATGAGGACTCCTCAACCGATGACGAGCCAATCATCATCCCGAGCCGTAATGCATCATTTGCCTTGCCCGACCCTCATAAACCCATTGCATCTGGGTTCAACACGTCGCATCGTAGTGTCAGCGAACGGAATCTGGCTAGCTTCGCGAGGCTGAGCAACGACGCTTTCGGCCAGGATCCAGAGAGTGACGCTGAAACTGTGATGAACGACTCACAACGCGGTGGACGAACGGCGGACACGAGCGGTGACGCGGCAAGCGAGCTGCGGCGCGTGGTCGAGAGCCGACAGAAGCTGGGCACCCAGATGCCCGGCAGCGCGCAGCGGTCTCACCGATTCAGCACGGGGAGCTTCCCAGCGCACACCGGCTCACCGTCGAAGGGATCAGAGCGAGGTTTCCCCACACCATCGACGGACGCCGGCAGCCGTGCTGTTCGATGCGTCTGCAACCGAAACGGCGATGGAGAGGGGTTCATGGTTCAGTGGTAAGTTTTGATTCCAGAGAAGGTCACAGTCTCGTTTACTCATCGTCTGTGCAGTGAGTCCTGTGAATTGTGGCTCCACGGGCTGTGCATCAACATCGCCTCACGACGAATGCTGCCCAGCGTGTACATCTGTGCCTTCTGTGCGAACACGCCGAACATGAGGGGCGGACGAATGCGAGACTCTAATAGAGGCTCGGGGCAGGCGACGGTAGGCGCATCGCCGCTGGCACACAAGTCCTTCAAGTCGTTCCGGTGACCAGGCGCCTCATTGGAGTACCTGGAGTACCAGCTCCAGCGAGCTCCAGTAACAAGTCGGACGCAGGGGAGCGCCGCAACGACGCACCAGATGGGATCACGAGTACATACGAAAACCCAAGTAGCATCCGGGGCATGATCTACCGGGGATCTTAAGGAAACATATATGAACATAGCGAAAATTAGAATATTCCTCGTCTAAGTTCGGCTGTTTTGCAAGTGTCGTCCAGCCGAGGTGCCGCGTCCTGTTTGTGGCATGCACCTGAACGCCGAACAATAGGACGGAGAATAGGGGTATGGCTGAGTCAGCGGGTCCATGGCGGGTTGGATCGGGGCACAAGCTCTCCGATGTCGGGATGCGGGGTAGCTGGAACCCGAACTCTGTGCGTGACGCGGGGCAGTTATTGGGCAGAGCAATTCGTTCTTGCTTTCTTGCTTCGACACGAGCCTTGTCTTCCTCTTGCTCTCTGCAACTACATCTCCCGTACGAATTGAAACGAATAGCTATTTCTTGAATACCCCATTTGGAGCAGTTTCAATTGCGTCTACTCTACTTGACCTCCTCTCTCCGACAAACCCGTACATATTTTCTATCACCGACACAGCTTCAATATGGCGACCACCCACGATATTGTGGTGTTCGGAGGTGACCACTGCGGTCCCGAGGTTGTTGCCGAGGGCATCAAGGTATGGATAGTTTCCCATGAACTCAAGTTCACGATTTTCATGGTCCTTGGTTGACTGACATGTTTGTACCAGGTCCTGAAGGCAGTGGAGGCAAACAGCTCTGGAGTCAAGTTCAACCTCCAAGAACACCTCCTCGGTGGCGTGAGTTCTCCCACAGATTACAACCCACACGCTCTGTTGCTGACAGATGAAAACGACAGGCCTCTATTGACGCCACCGGCTCCCCCCTTACCGACGAGGCCCTCGCGGCCGCCAACGCAGCTTCGGCTGTGCTCCTCGGCGCCATCGGCGGCCCCAAATGGGGCACCGGCGCCGTTCGCCCGGAACAGGGCCTCCTCCGCCTCCGCAAAGAGATGGGTGCCTACGGCAACCTGCGCCCCTGCAACTTTGCCTCCGACGCCCTCGTTGACTTCTCCCCGCTCAAGGCTGAGGTCTGCCGCGGCACCGACTTTGTCGTGGTTCGTGAGCTGACCGGTGGCATCTACTTCGGCGACCGCATCGAGGACAACGGTGATGGCAAGGCTATGGACACGGAACCCTACAGCCGGCCAGAGATTGAGCGTGTGGCGCGTCTTGCGGGTTTCCTCGCCATTGCGCGCGGCGACAAGACGGTGTGGAGTCTTGACAAGGCCAACGTGTTGGCGACGAGCCGACTGTGGAGAAAGGTCACGACCGAGGTGTTTGAGAAGGAGTTCCCCCAGCTCGAGATCAAGCACCAGCTCATCGATTCTGCGGCCATGATGATGGTTAAGAGCCCGCGCGCTCTCAACGGCGTCGTCTTCACGAGCAACCTCTTCGGTGACATCATCTCCGACGAGGCGAGTGTCATCCCCGGCAGCATTGGTCTCCTGCCCAGCGCGAGTCTCAGCGGTATCCCCGACGGCAAGGGTCGGTGCAACGGCATCTACGAGCCCATCCACGGTAAGCCTTCTTCCTCTGCAGCATACGTACCTTGCTCTCTTACTAACAGTTTCCAGGCTCCGCGCCAGACATCTCCGGTCAGGGCATCGTCAACCCCATCGGCACCATCCTCTCCATCGCCATGATGCTCCGCTACTCCCTCAACCTGCCCAAGGAGGCCCAGGCGGTCGAGGACGCCGTTAAGAACGTGCTCGATGGCGGTCTTCGCACCAAGGACATTGGAGGCAGCGCTGGCACTGTCGAGGTCGGCGACGCTATCACGAAGGAGGTTGTCAAGATCCTGTCGAGCTAGAGAGAACGGGATGCGGTTGATCTCGCGAGGGAAAAGGCAAAGAGGCTGTCGATGAGGCGGCAGTAGGTTGTGACAGATCATCTTTTGGACTCGTTTTACGGCCGCGAATACGGCCGCTTCGCGGCCGCTTGGCCGCCGGGGCCGAGGCATGAAGCGGCCAAGAGATACGCGAGGTCACCCCCGCCTGTCAGGATGTGGTAGTCCGGTCGGTCGGCGTCTCATGGATGATTTTTTTTCCAGTTTGAATAGTAGTGTTAGACAAAAGTCACGAATGCCCGTGGGGGCCACACGAATCATGCTGAAGTTGATAAGTGCGCATGACGCCCGGCACGCTGGCCCCTCATTCGGTAGGGTTGTGGTGTGCATTATTCCCTTCCAGCCTCGTGTTCCGGAGTATCAACGTTTCAGAGACACTATCGTCAAAACAAAGTCGTTAATGTATTCTAAAGCATAGCCACGCTCACATGGGCCACGGTCTTCCGCAACTTGGTATTCAAGGCATATCTGCATCCGCGTCATTGAGGAGACGAGCAGGAGCATACCACGCGCGCACTGAAAATTGCATGTCGTGCCTCGACACTCGCATGGCTCGAGCTTTGAAGAATAGGGGGGGAATGGCACGGGACAACGTCGGCCACTATAAGGACTCGGTTGAGCCTGATAGTCTTAATCACTGCAACGAACCAACACTGCGGGCCTTCACATGTGCGATTGTGCTCCTGGCGAGGCCCCAAGAGAGCTCGTCCAATTTACAGAGGTAGATGCAATTGGCTACTACGGCACTGCAGTCGAGGTACATGGCACCAACAGGCCCGGCCGTAGGCATCTTTCATCGCATCGCATCTCGAGAGCTAGTCTAGACAAGTTCCCGCAGAGCATCATACAGTGTCGTCGCCGTCTTGACCTTGTTCACGTCGTACAGCTGCTCGTCGGCCAACTCAAAAATGCCACTGCTGGTTTGGAGCTCGCCGGCGAGCGGCGCGTAATCCCACGCCCGGCCCCGGCCGAGCTGCTTACGCGACTCGTCAACTTGCTGCCGCAGCTCGTCGAGGCTACCGGCCTTTTCAATGTCGTAGGGCTTCCCGCTGACGCGGCCGTACGCCTCGGCGATCTCGGCGATGGTGCTGCGCCCGGACGGGATGTAGAAGAAGCCGCCCTGGCCGTCCTGCACACCCTGGCCATGGAGGAGGACGTCGATGGTGTAGGCGGCAGCATCATCCTGGGTGACCCAGGGGTGCTTCGTCTTCAGACCATCGTCGCCCCAGTAGCGGAAGACGGTCTTTTCGGGCCGGACGGCGGGGGCGCCGGGGCCGAAGGGCGTCAGCATGTAGCTGGAGAAGATGCCGGTGAAGAGATAGACGGGGCGGATGGTGCTTGTCAGAGCAGCCTGATGCTCAAAGGCGATGCGTATATCATAGTGCTCAAATGTGCCATACTTCATCCGCGTCCAGTCGTTGTTCCATGAGGAGGCGATGAAGACCTTGATGCCGGCGCGCTCGGCGGCGCGCAGCAATAGGATGGAGCCGTCGAGGTTCAGGACATCGATCGGCGAGTAGGCGTTGATGATCGAGTCGACGCCGGCGACGGCCTTGTCGAGGGCGGGAATGTCCTCGTGGGAGGCCGACTGGACGAAGGACTCGAGGGAGGCGGCAATGGTGGGGTCGAGCTTGTCGGGGCTGCGGCCGAGACCACGGACGGCGAGGCCGCGGTCCAGGGCGGTCCGGGCGAGGCGCTGGCCAAGGGAGCCAGTGATGCCGGCGATGAGAACGACCATAGTGGGATAGAGGAACAAGGGTGAGGGGAGGAGCACTTGGTACGCCGGTGATGCTATGGTCCAGAAGACGGCGGAACGGTCGTCTCCAGGAGGCGATGATTGGGAGCGGAAGTCAAAGTCTCTTTGGGAAACGGCATCATTACTGTCCAGTGGGCATGCTTTTAACGATCCGTCCCATCATCGACCCGTCTAGGAGATAGACGCGTGAGCAGGGCGATAGGATGGTCACGGAGCTGTCGAAAAGCTTCCGAGGCGGAGTCCACGGAGTCTGGCATGACATCTTTCTGGGGATGTCCAATCTCAGCGGTCGGAAGAGTTGTGCGTACGTTACGCGGACTTGTAGTCTCCACTACCGCGAGGTAGACAGCGGACTTCTCGCATGCCGGCTGCATTGAGGTTGTTGCTGGAGATGGCAATGACAAAGCAAAGTCCGCTCCGATGCTGATCCAGCATGAAAGCAGGCGTGGCAAGGCCTTACGTTATAGTATGCACGGTATCTCTTTCGTCGGTCCCAGCAAGCACTTCTTCGCCTCGGGAGGAGGGGGGTTCGAGACGGCTTGCTTGGGTGCTGCCAGAGCGATAGAGGCCTCATGGCTTGCCAGGTTTCTCATTGGTGTCTGCCTGGTCGAGACATTTGCATTAGTAGGGCATGTCGATTGAGGATGAAGCTGTACATGATACGAAAGATCAGCTTTGTCCCTCATCGGCATTGGAGAGGCCAGAGGGCAGGGGAGGTGCAGTGCAGTACACAAGCAGGCAGGCAGGCAGGCAGGCAGGCAGGCAGGCAGGCAGGCAGGCAGGCAGGCAAGCGCAGTGCAGTGCACAGGCAGGTATCTTGGGGTTGTTGCGGCAGGTGGGTACGGCACCTTAGGCAAGCAGGCAGGCAGGTTAACGTTTGGGTGCCTGGATCGGGCGCTAACCCGGATGGTCTAGCGTACGTCCCGCTCCAAGTGGACACTCTGCATTCCTCGACGGCAGTGACGAAAGACGAAAGGAGAAAGACGAAGACGGGAGGCACGGAGTGCCGGAAGGCTTGGGAACTGCGACCTCGACGCTGCATCATCACGACCACCACGACCACCACCACTACCACAACCACATCATCATCCACCAGGCATCGGCATCGTCTCAAAACGCCAGCCAGCGTTATCGCATCCGCATTCTATGGGGGACGCCCGTACGCCCACAACCACGACGTCATGTTCCACATTGTGAGCGCGTCGTCTGTCGCGCCCTCCATCGTCTTGACCTTGCTCGCCCTGCTCACCATCTCCTTGGTCGTCCTCCTGATCTTGCGCTTCTACCTGCCCCTACGGACGACACCAGCATTCTATCTCGTCCCCATCTTCTTCGCACTCTGGCTGCCAGCATGCATGGTCCTTCTGGTCCCCGTCGACCTGGCCTCCGGTGCCAAGACCGACGATGAGGCCACCCGCGGTGTTTGGCTGCCCGCCAGGGTGCTGCTCGTATCCTGGAGGATCACCTACTGGCTCACGTTCGCCCTGACATGGTTCGTGAACCCACTTGCCAACGACTGCTCTGCCGTTGCTGACATGATGCGAACCACAGGTTTATCCTCCCCGTCCTCGGCGAATACTCCGACGCCGGCTACCGCGACCCCAAAGACAATGTTCTCTATTCTCTGCGTGCAAATGCGCAGTATCACGCCATGGTCTTCGGTGCTGGACTCGTCGGTCTCGTCTACCTCGTCACATCGCATGGCCTCAACTTCGCCTCTCTCAAGACGACCATCATGGCGTTGGCCTATTTCTGGGGCCTTATCTTCGCCATCTACCTCATGGGTCACGGTCTCGTCTCGATTCCCCGGCGCCTCTTCCGTTTCGCCTCCATCAGCGGCAGGCTGCGCCGCCTCCAGAACCATGCGCCCAAGGTCCACGAGCGCATGGAGGATTCACTACTGACGCTGGAGGACATTGAGGTCCAAATCTCCGAGTTGAGTCGTCGCAAGATCGGGAGCGCCCGGGACTTCCAGGAATGGATTGACGAACTGGTCGAGATGGCCAACCTGCCCGAGTCGCAACCACGCGCTGGCATGCGCGGATCTACCGAGAGCCGCGTCCTACCCACCGTCATCACCGAAAAGTACATGGCCGACCTGACGCGGAAGCTGACGCGCGCCCGTCATGCGCGATCACGTTACACCGGCGAGTGGAACCATCTCGTGCAGGAGGCGGCTGCAACCCAGGCGATCCTCGATTCGGCAGCCTCCAAGAAGCTCGACTTTGGAGAACCGTCTCCCCACGCTGGCTTCTGGGATCGGACGACCATTCTGACGCCATACTCTCGTTACATCTTTTACTACCACATCCAGCCCTACGGCAGCATCCTGTTCGGTCTCTTCCTCGCCGCTTGCTCGGCATGCATCGTGTGGTCCGAACTCATCAAGGCCGCCTTCCCCAAGCTCTCCGTCATCCGTATCAGTGTTGTCCATCACTGGGTCGGCGACAAGGGTCAGGTCGGCTTTGCTGGTCAGGTCATCTCCATCATGTGGCTCTTGTACATGTGCTCGGCTGCCTTTATCACCATGACCGAAGTCAAGACGTGGCGGAGCCGTGCGCTCGTCAAACGCAACACGGGGTACGAATCGGCGTTCTGGTACGCGGGTCAAGTCGCCAAGCTCAGCGTCCCCCTGTCCTACAACTTTATGACGTTTCTGCCCAAGGTCATCTACGAGAAGACGCTGTTCTACCACATCCTGGGGCAGTACATCAACCTGACGCCACTGACAAGCTTCATGGACTACCTTTTTCCGATTCTCGTGCTCGTCCCCGTCCTCGCCACACTGTTTGGTCTCTACGGCAAAGTCCAGCGGTTCTTCGGGTTTGGCGTCGACATCATCGAGGATGAGGACGAAGACAGCCAGCGCACATATGGCGCAGGATCGTGGCGTGAGGGTCGTGACCTGATCGAGCGCGATCTCGACGGCAACTCGAGCGCCCGGCGCCGTGAGGAGACGTTCGCCCGTCTGGGCGCTGCTGCAGCCGCCTCTGCTGCCCGATCCGCCCCTGTTCTCACCGTGCCGGGCGGGGCGTCCTCACCAGCGCGATCTCCCGTGCGTGCGTCGGCCCAGGACAGGCGCGAGAGGGTGTCACGACCGGCGTACACCGATGCGGACGCGGAGGACCAAAACTTCTTTGAATCACTGGGCCATCGCATGAAGAATACCATGGACACCTTTGAAGCTCCCAACTGGTTCCAGGACATCAAGAAGCCCAAGTGGATGGGTGGAGACGATGACGGAGCGCAGGCTGGCAGCAGCGGCGGCGGGGCCGGTGCCGGTGGGCCGTCTTCGACCGAGTCGGATATCCGGAGGTGGTTTGGAGGTGAGGGCAGAATCCGTCTTTGAGCTTTTCGCACGGCAGGCGTTCGACCTCTCTACCTTCCCTTGCATGTTTCTCTATTTATTCTTTCGGGTGGCGGTCGAAGGGGCCTGATTCTCTACCAAGAGCTGGGGAGATTGCATAGTACGGAGTTTGGGCGAAGCAGAGGCTAGCTGCCACGCTCTTTTTGACAATTGGATTGCAGGATAGATCTAGATACATTAATCAACGAACCAAAACAGTCGTTCTCCTTCCGTGTTGCATGGCCATGGCAATCGACTTGTCGTATGGATTCGGTCGAGGTTCGTAGGGCTGCAGGGTCTGGATTGGCTGAGCCAATCACAAGGACAAACTGCAAGGCTAGTGGGTGCCTGACGCCACTACAACTGCATCAAGCTCTCAACTGTCCAGCGAGTCTCTGCCGTCACCCATCCCATCCCATCCATCCAGGCAAACTCCATTACGGACGCCGCCAACATATCCATCACCACAATGAGCAAACCAGGCGGCATCTCGTTCGGCCTCAACCTCTCCAAGAAACCAGGGCTCCAAAAAAAGCCCGCCCTCGCAAAACGGAAACCCTTTGGCGGCAACGATGATTCGGACGACGACGACAACAGCAGCAGCAGCGCAGCCAAGCCCACGGCCGGCAAGGTCCAAGCCATTGGCGAACTAGACGGTTTCGACGCGCCCGGCGCAGCCGCAGCAGGAAGAACCCCAGAAGACGAAGGCGACGCCCAGCGGCGCAAGGCAAAGGCCAAGCGAAACGCGCCGCCCGCCGCACCACCGACCCTCAGGGCGCGGAAGAACCAGGAGAGCGCGCTGTTCGGCGACCTGGCGGGCGCGCTGACGGCGCGGCGCAACGCCGCCGCCGCCGAGGCCGTCGATCCGAGCGTGTACGACTACGACGGCGTGTACGACGCGCTCAAGGCGGCGGCGCGCGGGAACCCGACGGCGGATGACGACGAGGAGGGGGCCGAGGCGGCGCGGAAGCCGCGGTACATGAAGAGCGTCATCGCGGCGGCGGCGGTGCGGAAGCGCGACGCGCTGATTGCCGAGGAGAAGAAGATTGCACGCGAGCGCGAGGAGGAGGGCGAGGCGTTTGCCGATAAGGAAAAGTTCGTCACCGAGGCGTACCGGAAGCAGCAGGAGGAGAATAGGCGCATCGAGGCGGAGGAGAAGAGGCGCGAGGAGGAGGAGGAGAGGAAGAACAAGGCGGGCGGCATGACGGCGTTTTACAAGGGCTTGCTGAACCGCGGCGAGGAGAGGCACCAGGAGATGATGAAGGCTGCCGAGGAACAGGCCAAGAATGCGCCTGCGGAGCGCGAAAAGAAGCAGGAGAAGGGGCAGCAGCAGCAGCAGCAGCAGCAGCAGCAGGACGAGGAGCAGCCTGACAAGGAAGCGACGGACGCCAACAGGGCGAGCGAGATCAACAAGAAGGGTGGCAAGATTGCCATCAACGAAGACGGCCAGGTCATCGACAAGCGCGAGCTGTTACGGGGCGGCCTCAACGTCGGCGCCAAGAAGGAGGCACAGGTCAGGAGGGAGGCCAGCCGGCCAAAGGATGACGGGCGCGACCGGGGTTCGGGCTCGGGGTTCGTCGGTGCTGGCGGCAAAGGCGCCATGCGCGAGCGGCAGACGCGCATGCTCGAGCAGCAGCTCGCCGAGTCGCTCAAGCGGTCACGCGAGGAGGAGGAACAGGAGCGCGAGAAGATTGAGACGTCGGCCAAATCGAGGAAGACGGAAGGCGAGATCTCGAGCGCCAAGGAGAGATACCTGGCGAGAAAGCGCGAGGCGGAAGAGGCAAAGAAGAAAAAGACGGCTGAGTAGTAGGACGTTTTTGATACCCCGAAAGATGGCTTCCCAGGATCAGGGGTGTCATCTAAGATTATAGCTCTACAAAAAAGAGTCCATCTACAAGAAATCAGAGCGCCACCAATGTGTTGATTGTACATGTGCCCCCCCGCCTCCAACACTATACTACTGTGGCAGCGCTGGCCGAAGCCTTTTGACGCAGGCATTCGTTCCCGGCCGGGCCTGGGTCTTTGCCTTCCACAATGGAGGCGCGCCCACCCTTTTTGCGACTCGGATCCGGGTCATTGCTTTGATGGTACATTCGGCACGGGGCCGTTCGATTTCGATGATTCGCGAGCAGCCTCGTTCTTACGAAGATAGAGCCTGGTTGCCAGACTCTTGGCGTATCCTGGCGATATAGGCCGTGTTGACCTGGTTCCATGCCGACATGTACTTCTCCATGCACGACGTCATGCATGTCGTCTCGCCGCTGGACAGCGAGGTACCGGGCTTGGGGACGCACTTCTCAAAGCAGTTCTCCTGGAGTTTCTGGGCGGCGTCAGTCGACTCCGTCATTTGCCCTCCGGCGTCTGGCAGAGGGCTGCAGACATACCTCGATGAGAACACGGGCATTGGCCATGTTGGCCTCCTGAAGGACCTGCTTCTGGAGCGCCCTCTTGACGGATTCGGAGTCCATTGTGATGGGTGATTGTGTGATGCGAGATTGTTCCGTGGTGCAGTTGAAGAGCCAGTGTCGGAAGGAGGGTAGCGTCAAGTAGGAGCGGTTGTAACAATGGAAGCACGGGTGTTGATGGCCAGGTCCCTCGGGTAGGTAGACACGGTAGCGATGATCGAGGTTGAAGAGCTTGATGGACTGGTGTGGCTGAAGCATGAATGTGCGCCACGATTCACCAGCCTCAGGCCACCGTCTCTCCAACCGACGTCAGGCGCGAGCGGGACAGGGGTGAGCTCCAAAACGCCGTGACCCCAGGTTTCCATTCCAGGAAACCTAAGGTACTTTACTACTGGGCCGAAAAGTGAAAGAGGACAGCTAACGGCCCTAGCCAGCCATTGCAACGCTCTGCATCCGACAACCCCCCCCCCCCCCCCCCCCAATTCACGACCAACTCCTCCACGACGCCGCCGCCGACCGACCCTTGTGCGTCGCTGGATCCCGGCTGTGCTCTCGTCTTTTTGTCTTCTATTCTTTGTTGCTTTCTTTTTGATCCCTGACGATACGCCGGCAACCATGTGGCTGAAGTCGCTCGTGTCGGCCTTGGGGCTGGCTGCTCTGGCTCGGGGCCAGAAGACCTCGGAAGATGATGGCGAGGTCAGGAGCATTGGTGTATGTTGACTCGCTGGCGCAACCCTCTTCTTGATCTGGCCGATTGGTATCGTGTACTGAACAATGCGTGATCCAGCTGCGCACCCACTCCATCCAACAGGTTTGCACCACGGCCTCTCCAACACCCACTTCCCCCTGAACGCCGACCGCTAAAACAGCTCGACAGCCCTACCTCGACTCGGACATGCAGAGCCGATGGTACGACTTTGGTGGCGACACGATCGTCCGGACAGACTCGTGGGTGGCTTCCCCCTTCTCGCTTCTTTCGCCATGCTCTGCTGTGATTATGCCGTGAGGAGGAAACAGGAGTCTGACACGGGAGACAGATACATCCGCCTGACATCGGACCGCCCATCGCAATCGGGCTGGCTCTTCTCGCGCGTGCCGCTGACGGCGACCAACTGGGAGATTGAGGTCGAGTTCAAAATCTCGGGCAAGGGCCAGCTCTACGGCGACGGCTTCGCCTTCTGGGTGACCAAGAACCGCGGGCAGATGGGCCCCGTGTTCGGCGCGGCGGACCGCTTCGAGGGCCTCGGCGTCTTCTTCGACACGTACAAGAACAACCGGCCGGGCGTCGTGTTCCCCTACGTCATGGCCATGCACGGCGACGGCCAGACGCCCTACGACAAGGACAACGACGGCAAGGCGTCCGAGCTCGCCGGCTGCTCGGCGCGCGGCATCCGCAACGCCGCCGTGCCCTCGCGCTTCAAGCTGACCTACTTCCAGGACAAGATGCTCAAGCTCGAGCTGCAGTACAAGTCCGAGGGCGACTGGCAGCTGTGCTTCGAGACGCGCCAGCCCCCGACCCTGCCGTCCATCGCCTACCTCGGCTTCAGCGCCGAGACGGGCGAGCTGCACGACAACCACGACATCATCTCCGTCGCCGCCAAGAACCTCTACACGGCCCCCAACAAGAACAAGAATCCCTCGACCCCGGGCAGCGGCCAGTCGTCGAGCCGCGGTCCCGCCCCCGTCAAGGAGGGCGGCAGCTGGACCTGGTTCTTCGGCAAGATCATCCTTTTCATTCTCGTCCTCGGCGCCGCCTACGTCGGCTTCACGGCCTGGCGGGCGAAGAACGAGAAGCGCCACCGTTTCTGAGCGCTTGTCTCTCTTTCACCTCTGTGACATCCCGACGCATGGAGAAACGGGGTGGGCTTGGGCGGTGGTCATGAAGGGACTACGTGGAAACTGCAAAAAAAGAAATTGGGTTGGACAAGATGGGGGCAAGGACGGAAATGAGATGTAGGCGACGACGCCACGGAGTCATGGAGATGAGCAGACATGCGGTACCGGGCCTGCGGCGGTTTACACACTTTTCTCACGTTGTTCCTGATGTTCTTCTGTTAGAGTGTATCACAGTGAGATGCTGGAGTTCAGGAAACGACCACGAGCCTGATTAAGTGATGTTTGAATTGACCATGTTGAGACACGAGTGACCAGTTTGAGAAGGGAGCAGTTCCCACGGATTTGCTCCAACTTGGTGCATCACGCCGGGTCCGAAGAACCAATCCACGTTGGATCACTGTCTGCGCGCCCCCTCCAACGCCCCCAATCATCCCGTCTGAGAACGCATGGTACAGAGTATATATGTCATCATTCATTGAAAATGTCTATCTAATCCAAACATGTACTGTTGTTGCCCAGTCATTACGTCGTGAAGTATATACACACCACATGTCGAAAAGTATCGACCCCATCCCCTGAAGCCTTTTCAGACCTTCTTTGGAGTAACGAGAATCGTCCAAAAAGGGGGCCTGCCGCACCTCATGACAGCCGCCCCCTCTACGGCTTGACCGGCGCCGTGACCGAGGTCCACGTATTTGCCTTACTCATGGTCCGCTTCCGCATCATGGCCATGATATCGGCCTCCATGTGCTCAATGTTTTTCTCGAGGTCATCATCCTCGAGCTTGAAGCGGCCCTCGCGGCGGCGGTCAAACTGCAGCCAGCCGAGAACAATGGCGGCCGTGACGGGCACGGTGATGACAAAGTAGACCCACAGCTGGGTTGAGACGACCGTCTCGGCGCCGGCGCCAAAGTCGAAAAAGGTCATACTGAAGACGGAGGCGAGGAAGGTGCCGGGCAGGAAGATGGCGCCGAGGAGAGAAATGGTCTTCATGGCCGTGCTGTCGCGCTTGCTGGCGTGGGCGAGGCGGCGCTGCTCGCCGGCCATCTGGAACTGGATCTTGGACTCGCGCTGCGACAGCAGGTTGTAGAGGGCGCTGCGCTGGATGTGGAGGCGCTCGAGCGTCGTGGCCTGGTAGTTTTCGATGCCGACGAGCTTGGCCGTGTAGAAGTCGAGACGGCTCAGAAGGCTGCGGTGCAGCTTGTCGAGCTGGGCGCCCTCGGCGCCAGCCTTGCGCTCGTCGGGCAGCTGTGCCCAGAACTTTTGCATTGCCTCCTTCATCTGCACGACGACCTCCTGGTAGGCCTGTGGCCGCTTCCACAGCACCTGCGAGTGGCATTCGACGAGGTCGCGGCTGATGGCGTCGACCTCCATGACGCCGTCCTCGCGCACGTAGCCCTCCTTCTCCTCGATGGCGTCGCGCATGCTGACGGCGTGCTCGAGGCGGCGCAGCCAGTCGCGCGCATCGCGCTGCTTCTGGTCGTTGCGCGGCGACAGGTCGTACGACAGGATGATGATGGGCAGCAGCATTGGGTGACCGACCTGGGCCGAGCAGGCCTTGAGATGGGTGATGGACTCGGCAATGTCGCTCGACGAGGTGCCCTTGACGAACCCCGTCGTGAGCCCCGACTTGACCGCGTGCGAGAGCATAATCTCCCATCCGCGCGTCTTGCCCTTCTTGCGCACGTCCGACTTGCGAAAGATGATCTGCAGATGCGGATCCTCGTCGTCCTGGTCGTAGGAGCACCAGAAAAAGGGCCCGACGACGGAAGTGCCCTCGATGGCGCGGTAGGGTAGACGCATCGTCTCGACCATGGACTTGTACGTCGCGCGCGGGAAGGAGATGACAAAGGGCGCGAACGTTTCGTTGTCCTTGGCGTTCTTCTGGAGGACGAGGCGCATCGCACTCTGACGCTTCGTGTCAGGCTTCATCTTGTCCGGCGCCCGGAAGGCGCCCCTCTCATTGAGATAGTTCTCAAACTCATCCGACGTCAAGGGGTGCTCCTCGACGCAGTTGTAGAAGGTGTCCTAGAGGATAGAGTGGTCAGCCGCACAGTTGGCCTCACTCAAGCATCATCCCGGCTAGCCGATGCCCTCAGTCGCGATTGAAAAGTCAGGTCGGACAGAAGAACTCACAGAATAGTTGAGGACCTCAAGATAGCTCGTCGCCTCGTGCACCTCCTTGCACTCATCCACAAAGAACTTGAACATGTAGTTGTCCATCTTGTCGCCCGCTCTTGTCCCGTCTTGGCTTCCGAAGACTCCGCACACACTCTCGGTCGATTGGGGCCGCCCGTCACCTCGAGCTCGAGCTCAGACCACAGCTATGCAATACCAAGGCTTGAACAGGGCCTGGCGGGGTAGGTGAAGACGGTGCAGCGCTTTGCGAAGCAATGCCGTCAGGAATGAATGAACGAACGATCGAGAGCTCCAATGGACGCATGCAAGGAAAGGAAAAGCAAGAGAAGGACGCGAGAATCGGAGAAATCTGCAGGCTGCGGGTTGACCTGCCGCCCGTCATCTCATCACCACCAGTCTTGCAGTAGGTAAGTAGGGGGGGCGCGCGCCTCCCGATCCCCAACCTCTCTTCCTGAGGTCGGGGCCAATAGGCGACGAGGCGGAGGGGCGTACGGGCCCAGGGCTGCTGGGGCCGCTCTTGGGGCGGTGCAGCGGGGACCTTGTAGGTGCTTCCTGCTCTGGCTGCTCACTGTCCGGGGAGGTCGGGGGCCCACCTGGTACACGGCTTCCGGGCGAACATCCCCGCACTTTCGGTGAGGCGCTCCTGACTTCTCCCTCCTCGCTGTCTGTTTCCTGCCTCTTGTCTGATACCGCCTTCCGCCGCCTCCTGCTGCCTCCTGCTGCCTCCTACTGCCTTCTGCTACTGCCTCCTTGCTATGCAGTGCGGTGCAGCGCTGGTCGCCCCTGAGCCCTTGCGACTCGATCTGTGCCGTCGCCTTGTTCCACGAGACGCGAAATAACTGGCTTGACCTCATCATAGCCGTCTCACATCTGCCCGCATCATTGGCGAATCTGCATCAAGAAATACCGTGCGAAAACCTTGCCACAGTAACATATATTGTCATGTCATGGTAAAGCCATCGCATAGTGGCCATGGTAGGCAGACCATGGCCAGGTGATGTAGGGCGTTGTCGTTGCAGGGCGTATTCGATACTGTAGCACTCCAGCCGCCTCCTCTCCTCGCGCACATCTAACACCTGCATCCAAGC